TGTGTGTGTGTGTGTGTGTATGTGTGTGTGTGTGTGCATGTGCACCCAATTGTGTATTGCCAGGGATCTAACCCAGGGCCTGCTCTACCACTGAACAATACCCTCAGCCCAGAACAAATAATCTTTTTAAAAATGAAGATGTGTAAGGTCCAGAGGACAAATGACTGTGTTTAGATCACAGTAAAATCAGTGACCAGCCATGTGAACTCAGAAAAGTTACTTGTTTTCTGTTTATGATAGCATCATTTGCAAAATTGTCCTTAGGATTAATCAAGAAAGTAGGCCAAATCCTTAAACACATTAGTTACTATTAGTATTTAGAATTATGAGTTTTTTACAGATTTTATTGGAATTTTGAACTAATGAGAAATTTCATTAAAAATGTTGATATGATTATACTTCAACCTCAATGGGGCAAAAGATTAGTAATTGACACTTCCTCAACTAAGAACTTCAGAACAATTTGCCATCTTTTCATTCGGCCTTTTCAAGTATATCAGCCCTGTTTAGAGAGTCTCCTATTCATTGGGCTTAAAAGGAAATACTCAGGATTAAATTTAAAAATTGCTATTTTCTTTCAGAGGAATTTGGAGCATCAGATTCTTTTAGCTAAGGATACCATATATTTCCTACAGTGCTCCAAACGTCTCTGATATCATTTCTTTCATTTTAATTGAAAAGCATATTTCACCATTTGAGCTCTCTTTGCTACTTTTGTCCATGATTAGGAGTCTAAACAGGAGACCAAGAGTGTTGGAGTGTAGAGGGTCACACTACATTGCTCTGAAGTGGTGTCTCACAGCAGACACACCCACAGGGAGTACTTTGTCATTCACTTGTAAATCACCGCCATTGGGAAGAAAGTGTAATATAGCTTTCTGAAAACAACCCATAGAGGAACAGGCTTTATTTATTAATGTGGTAAAAATACTAAAACACCCTCAGGAGACATGCCGGGATATGGATAGGCTTCTGAATTACCCAGTTCATATTTTGTCACAGAAAAGGCCTGGCTCAACAAGTCCTATTTGAAATTTACATCACATCTAACACACAAGCATCCAATTATGTTGGAGAAAGTTTCATCACTACACTGAACAGAGTTAGAGCCCCTTCACCACCCCACAACCTTCATTGGAAATCCTATACCAAAACAACTTACAGGAATGATTTGGCCACATACACCAATAGGTTCATGTCTTGTATAAGTGAAAAAGTCTCCATCTGAAAAACAAAGCACACACCCAATCCTAAGAAGACAAATGTGTTCACCATTCATAGAGTAGTAGTTTGAAGGTAGTGTGAGAGAAAGAAGTAAACAGTAGCATAGAAATAGTAATTCATGCCCGTAGTCCTAGCTACTCAGGAGGCTGAGGCAGGGGGATTATAAGTTTGAGACCAGATGGGGCAACTTAATGAGACCCTTTCTCTAGATTCAAGCCCCAGCACTAGAAAAACAACAACAACAAAGCCTTTTATCCAACAATTTACTAAATAAAAAAAATCAAGTCTTTGGAATGATAAAAACCATACAATTAAGTTAGTTCAAAGCAAAGAAGCAAAATTGGAAAAGATCCGAGTCATAATTAATTCTTTATCTCATCATCTAAGAAGGCTGTTTTCTATATTATTTTCATTCACCAATTTTTATAGAAGAAATGAAAGGAGGTCAGATCATCTGTAGCTAAAAGAAAAACTGTGCTCAAATGTGTTTTTAGCAGCTTAAAATTCGACCTGTAATATAATCTGTTTTTAAAAGGTGATGTGATTTTAAAAAATAGTAAAATTAAAAAATATATCTCCCTGTTAGTAATAAGCCTTTCTACTGACTCATTCTAACATGTTGTTTTGCCTACCAAACACAAAAGTAAATTCTCTTAATCAATGAAGAAAATGCCCATAGTAAAAGACATTTCTTTTCCACATATATTTGACTAATTCACATGCCTCAGAGTTTGACATGGTCACCCTGTGAGTTTCATGGTTCTCTGGGTTCTGTGCTGGTCTGGTTCCTGCAGGAGCCTCCTGAATATTAAGAAGAACTCTCCTTAAGATGTACATGCACTTTAAGTGGCTTTTCCATTTTTCCTGAGGATGAAGTATAATAGTTTTCAGACCTAGCCCATTTCTAGTTAGTACTTTGGTCTCATTCTCCTGTTTTAACTTCCTGGTTGTCACTTCTAACCTACTGGATGCTCCAATTAGATTGAAAATGCACATCAGGGCCAATTCTGGAGGCATTCTGAATTTCTAATGTCAATGTTTGTATAAGTTAAATTTCTATCTTTAATGTTTTTCAAAATCATGCTTTTTTCCAATAAAATTTTTTTTCATATTTCTATTCTGCTATGTGTATACCCCACTAAAATAATATACATGAATGTGTAATACACAAATTCTTAACTCAGGCTATAAACATAGTCTCATCTTAATTTGAAGGTATTTGAAACAAATCAATAAATTAGTTTGTTTAATTAACCTGGTCTAACTGTACTGAGTTTGAACAGGCACAGATAACCATCCTTAATTCATACATGCAAAGAGACTTAAATAATTACGTTACAGAAAGGGTATAAAGGTTACTATGGGAATGAAACCCAAATAAATCATTTGAGGTCAGCTTTGAAAAGTTTGGGCCCTTAAAGGCAGATATGTCTCAAATCAGTAATTGGGGCCATAAGAATATTCTTACTTAATATTTTCTAAAATATCCACAGTGTTATCTTCTGTGTGATTGTGCTGAAGCAACTTTAAAAGTGGTTTGTTGAATCTTCACAGAATTTCTAAGTTCAGAATTGTGTTGGCTCAAAGTCAAGGGGAAAATAATTTTGCCTTATTTGGTTGACATCTTTAAAAGTGAGAGTTTGAAATTACTCAGCTCTATAGTAATCACTTCCTGCCTACGCCCACCCCTGGTGGTCTCCCAAGTTACTTACCAATCGGTATGGTACGGCCCTGGACCTTGTCAGCCCAGCCTGCACAGTAGCGTAATGTTTTTATGCAGCCTCCTAGATCCATCAGATACGCATTAGAAAACAGTTTTCCAGCATTCATTGACTCCATTGTCTGAAAAACAAATCAGTCTCCAAATATAAAATTCCACAAAACTTTTTAATTAATAATAAATGACCAATATTTTGAATAGTCATGTGTTAGAGAATTTTGGAAATAGAAGATATTTTAACTCAACTACTCTTACCTTCTATTTTTAAATACAGACTTAAAAAAGTTAAAATAATCTGTTTACGTTCATATGGAAAGATCTGTGTAGAATGAATAGTGAGATTCTGGTTGTTAAACCCTAGCGCTCTTTCTTTCATATTCTGGGTGTCTTCCAGCTAACCAACATTTCAAGGGTTGATCACAATTTGATATGTACCCAGCTGTTAAAATGGTACAATATTTCATTTATGATCCAACTATAGTGACAATTTAGTGTTAGGAATATAATAACCAACAACCATTAAAAAGCCAGAGTTTTATAGAGAGTTTAATAACCAATAACCATTATAATTTTTGTGTTCCACCTGGATACAACTGATTTATTCACATAAACTTAACATCTGGATCTTTCATTCATGAATTTTCTTCAGCAGAATTTTCTATTACAAAACTCCTAGTTTAGGTACTCTCACCATAACTATCATTTGAATGGTCTAGCAACATACCTATTATACATACCTAGCAACAAACCTATTGTGACTTGTCTCTTCCTTCACTGTTAGGTAGAACTTTCAAGTGCTCTTTGGGTTCTAGTGTTCTGCTGGGATGGTTCTCTGACAGGAATGTACAGATGTCTAACTTCTAAAGCTGTTCTGCCTCTGTACTGTTCTGTCCTACCATCCCAAATTTAAGCAAATACAACTTTTTCACATCTGTTCTTTTTCCCCCATCAGCTCTCATGGTGATAGAGATAGTCAGCACTCTCAACCCAAAGAGCAGACAGATGAGAAGAGCCAAGTTTTAGCAAATGCTTCTTTCTTTCTTTTATAGGACAAGTGGTCAATACAGTTTTATTTCATATGGCTTCTGGTTCTATACTTTCGCATGTTTTGAATTATAAGGACCATAACAAATTGTCCTTTGATTAACTATAATTGACATTGATTATTTTTAAATAAAATGTAGGGCTCTTTGTTATTATCACTTTAAGACTCAAAAGGTAAAAAAATTGATTCTAAAACCTCATCTGGGTATGAGTTTATATGAAATTGTCTTTACTATAATTATTTTATATGAAATTGTCTTTACCTGGCCAAGAAGACAAAAAAATGCCCTCCCCTACATATTATGTGCTCACTCATCTACAAGCTAAAATTTAAGAAAACAAATCTGGCACACACACACAAAAAAACACAACTTTTAAGAACATATTAAAAATAGATTTTCTTTATTCTTTGCCTATTTCATCTTTGAAAAAAATCACATTATTTAATTCTGCAACACATCATTTAATTATGAGCATGTTAACAGACACATTTCAGGAAGGTAAAATGTGGCTGTGTAGTAAATATTTTGGTGGGCTAGACTAACAGGAAATAAGCTTTTTTTTTTCAGGGAAATAATTTGAGCACTTTCAACAAAGTCAATGAGATTTTCCACTGTAAGAGTTCAGTGGTCAACCAAGTTTAAGAATCCAAGTGTATCATTCCAGGAGATTCTTACTGCATGTGATTTTGTTACGGGAGCTGAGAAGGTCTGGAGTAAAGGAAAGAAATTTGTTTAATTTGGTTTAACTCAGTGGTTGCCAAAGTTTAGACTGTAGAATCTGTTCTGGGAGCACATGTCATCATCTGGAACTGGCATTCAGATTACTACTTGAGATAATCTCAAATCCTACCCCAGATCTGGAGATGAGGTCTTTTCAGTTTAATTTTAGATTTCATATAGTGCTCACTAGATCCAAATTAGCTTGCCAATTCATACAGTGAATGCTTTTTAGAGCTCTCACTCGGCATCTGGTTTGGTTAATACTCACGGCCAGCAGCAGACGATCTCTTTCAATTAAGTCGGCCAACTTGTATAGTAGGCGTCCCCTCTCTGAAGCATCCATAGTGCGCCATGGAGAGCCAATCTGAAAAGCCTGTCTTGCAGCCTTCACAGCTTTGTCAACGTCTGCCTGTTAGTCACAGAGAATTCAGTGCAGTAGACTCAACACATTGGACAAGCAAACCTAATGGCAATAACCCTATAAAATAGACGGTAGCTCCTTATGAACAGATGCCGTGTCTCCATTGGACCAATGTCTAGCACATTCTATGCACTCAACGACAAGGTGATGTAATAGCACCTGCAGGATAATGTTGGGAATGATAAGTTCCATATACTCCGCACATGTTCGATTTCTTGGAATACAAATGTTATAATATTCTAATAGTTGCCCTCATTTGAATATTTCCCATATTTCAAGTAATGTTCCAGTAACTATATTCATATTAACTCATATTATTCTCAATAATCTTATAAGACAAAAATTTTTCCCATTTTACAGATGAAGAAACTGAAGCATATCAAAAGAAAAGAGACCCAGTCTTTGCCCTCTTGCTCTTTCTAGGCGGTATCAGCGCAGGTGGCTCTTGTTGGCCAGGAGCTGCTGGAAAAGTTGGAGGCCATGGGTGGAGCAGGTCTATGGGACCAGGAGTCTTGGCTGTGCACCTGGTACAATGAGAAGGTGTAGGAGATGGCATGGAGTGATCTAGGAGTAATGAAGTCCAAAGAGAAACATGCTTTAAAAAAATATCAGCTTTGGGCCTGGGGTTGTGGCTCAGTGGCAGAGCATTTGCTTAGCATGCATGAGGCACTGGGTTTGATCCTCAGTACCACATTAAAACATGAATAAACAAAATAAAGGTACTGTGCCCATCTACAACTAAAAGAGAAATTCTTTAAAAAAAAATATCAGTGTGCCAGGCACAAAGTGGCACATGCCTGTAATCTCAGCTTCTTAGGAGGCTGAGGCAGGAGGATTGTAAGTTCACAGGTGGCCTCAGCAATTTAGTGAAGCCCTAAGCAACTTAGGGAGACCTTGTTTCAAAATAAAAAAAAAAATAAGAAGGGCTGGGATATGGGTTCAATTTCTAGTTTTTTTTTTTTAATCCTCAGAATAAAAAATTCTCAGTATTAAAAAGAAGGAGGAGAGCAGCCTCTGCACAGAATGAAGCAGAATCCTGCCATTTGGGAGGAGGAAGTCCAGATGCCTGGAGGAAATGTCAGGCAGGGGCAAGTTAGGGGGCTTGTCCTTAATTTTTGATGGGCTATTCCTAATAGGCATACTGATCACAATGAAGTAGGAAATAGGGTAGAAAGTTTTGTGGGGCAGATGAGGGAAATCAAGTGGAAGACTAGGAAGCAGCAGATGAGATGTTATATGAGCTTCCAAACCCCTGAACCTGACAACCATTATGACTTTTGCCTCATACCTCGAATCCCAAGGTTTTACAGGATGGCCACTGTACTGCAGTCTTGTATCTTTGTGATTTACCTTTTCTGTGTAACTTTTGGTATTTCCTCTTTCCAGTTTCTGACTGAATATTGTTTTGTCTGTCTAAAAGTTTCTGTCGGCAGGACAATTTTACCAGTTTTAGAAAAAAAAAAACATTCCTTTTACAATATGAAGTTAATCCGCAGTTTTAAAAGCAAAGGAGAGAGAGACAGAGAGACAGAGAAAGAGACTAGCCCAAGGTCAATAACTCGAAGTGAAGTTGAAGTGGCTGAACTAAGTTTTAAAGAGAGCCTATCTGACTATAAGACCCTTTATGACACATTTTAATTCTTCAACTACAAAAGTTCCTGTCATCAGGCACTGAATAGGAACTTTCCTTTGCTAATGAAGAGTAGACATTATAAATGTGTGCTCATTTCTTTTGTGCAAAAGGGAAAAGACATAGAAGTAGTGAAACTGTTCTACAGAAGGGTCCGTCTACCTGTGATAAGCCCAGTTGGGTACAAAGAGATCCTCTAGGTAAAAGTAGTTTCTTTTTATTAATAACACACTGCTTGAAACTACATTGATTCAAGCAAAAGTTGAATAATAGATGACGTTCACACTCAGTGAGCAGGTCTGGCTTTTTATCTTCGTACATACTCTTTCTTCTTGTGTTTTTCTCTGCCACATATACTCTAGTTTCCTAACCCACCTCAGTTACAAATTTGGCCTACACACCCCTGTTCAGACCTTTTCTCATTTCCTACAGAATGTATCTATCACAAATATCACCACTTCTTTTACTACTTCATGTCAGTGTTGATCCTGTCCTGTCAGTTGCAAACACCTTAAAAGCACAGTCATGCCAACAGTTTTTTGCATGTAGGACTGACCACTGCGGGGAACTTCATAAATGATAATGACATCATAAGGCCAGTAGATTACAACATTTTGCAGAAGACATAATTCCCTTCGAGAATTAGAGCAAGAGGAAAGAAGCTACCCCTTTTTTTTTTTGTCATTGTTGCTCACAATCTGAATTGATATCACCTCCTCCTTGGTGAGGCATGGATCTCATATTAATATTCCCCTCCTCAGATTATATCCAAGAAGCCCCAATCTTACAATTCTGCAAATTAAAATGCAAATAAATAAACTATTTTCACAGCACCAGATGCTCCCAGATTTATCATAGAGTTACATCCTAATGAACCTGCAGTAAGTTGAAAGTATTATGAATTGAAAATGCATTTAATGCACCTGACATATGACACATCATAGCTTAGGCTTAATGTGCTCAGAACACTTAATGCCTGTCTTATACGAAAGTGTTGATTATTTCTCATTTTATTTTTTGATTACAGTACACTGTTGCAACATGCAGTACAGTATTGGTTATTTACCCTCTTGTTGTGAGGCTGCGTGACAGCATTGCCCAGCATTGCATAGAGAATATTATACTGGATATTGCTAGCCTGGGGAAAGATCAAAACTGACAATTCATAGTACAATTTCTACAGAATGTGTATTGCTTTTGCATCTTTGTAAAGTTGAAAAATGATGTCAAAACATTGTAAATCAGGTAACATCTGTATTCATCACCAAATTAAGATGAACTGAGGCAACAGCAGTTTCTTAGAAGTATAATCTGTCCTGATTAGTAATAATATTTACTGACTACAAGCAAAGACTCTTTAATTATAATACATCACACACTGGTGTATCTCACTGTCAAACTTCTAGGAGAATAATGAGTACATATAATAAAACATATGCAATTGTTGCCTGCTTGTCTAAGAAATATATATATATATATATATATCGCATATTTTGGGGCATTCAGTTAATCATATCAATTGCTTATTTTGTTTCATGCCATAAATTCTGAAATTTTAAAAAAGTAAATACAGAGAGCACTGTTTGGGGGTTTAAAAAAAAAGCAAACCACAAGAATCTGAGATTGCTGGCATGATCTGTAGATCCCAAGACTTATAAAACATACACAGCCCTGTGTTTAAACATCTGTGTGACACAGCTTTCACTTGGATGTTTCTGCTCACTGTTCTGCCATTGGCCTTAGCCAAATATGGGCTATCATAGGCAGCCTGGCCTCCCAAGGGATGTAGAGACACTGGCTTCAAGACAAGTAGTTCTGCCATACAGAACCCATCCCTGGAGAATGCTGCTAAAAATAAACATGCTCTGTGGTTATGTCTTTTGCATCATGTCTGTCTCTCTCTTGTTCACATCTTATATTTAATCTTTCAGGAGTAAAAATAGAGTAATGGCAGTTTATTATTTTTGAAGAAAATAACCCAGATTTTAATTATGATTCCTCTCAAGCTGTGTAAGTTTTGAGGTGTCCAATGGTCCATCCATCCATCTAAAGACTTCCCACACACTCCACTCTGTAGCATTTCTATCATCAGTCTGATAATGACAGAATGGTAAAATAAAAAATATTTTAAAATATTCAATCAAATGAGAGGGACACAAGACCAAACAATTTATCCTACCATATTATAAACCATGAAAAGCACAGTAATCCCTCGGTATCCAAGAGAAATTAGTCCCAGGATACCCCTATAGATTACTAAAGACCACAATGCTGGGAGTTTTATACAAAGTGAAATGGTATTTGCATATAATGTATGCACATTCTCCCATCTACTTTAAATTACCTTGGATGACTTATAATGCCTGTGACAATGTACATGCTGTTTAAATAGCTGTTACACTGCATTGCCTAGGAAATGATGACAAGAGCAAGAAGCTGCTATGCATTCAACATAGACACAACCATGTTAGGCCGGACTTCCTCACAGCATAACCATGGTGGGATGAATCCACACATGTGGAATTTGTGCACTTGGAATTTGTGCACTGATGTTATATAAGGGTGTGCCTTATATAATTTACTTATATTTACAATTACATAATACTCATATTTCAATTGATCTATTATGTAAATGAAATATTGTGTCACAATTTCTTTGAGGTTCAGTTTTCTCATCTTTAAAGTCAAGGTAAGTTATTTCATAGGGTTGTGTTAAAGATCAAATAAGCTAACCCCTGATACACAGCTTCCATGTGACAGGCATTCAATGTTCACTAGATGGAAGCAATTTCTTACTATAGTCCTAGAAGTCAAAGCAGCATGAAAATGACTCTCAGCAATTTCAGTTTGTTTTAATAAATAGTTCCTTTCAGTTTTTACTTCTCTTTACCATTGTGGGTACTTATCATTTCATTGTCAACAGCTCCCCAAGTTCATTGTCTTCCCTCCCCAGCTGTCTTGCCTATGACTACCAGAATAATCTTTCCTCATAGAGCTTTATCTTATCACTTTCCTTTTCAATATTTGCAACGGCTACCCTTTTATCTGCAATCCCAAGGCCAAACTCCTTTGGTTGGTTTTCAAAGTCCAAACTTCTGGGGCCCTACCTCACCTGCTCAAAATTGTTGTTCATACTTTTTTTTTTTATCTATCTGACTCTGCTCTTTCTCATCTTTGCTCTCATAATTTACTTTGTCAAGAATGTTCTACTAGCACATCTCTTTACTTTCAAAATCCTATACATTTTTTCAGGACCCAGCTTAAATATCCCAACCTACTTCAGTCATTGGCAGTTTAATCTGGCTGAATGATAGCTACTCATTAAGAGCTCACCATGCTGTGGGTGCTAAGATAAGTA